ATCCCATATCAATTATACCATTCCCACCAAAGCTTCGTCACCTTACAATATCCCATATCAATTATACCATTCCCACCAAAGCTTCGTCACCTTACAATATCCCATATCAATTATACCTTATCAAAACTTTAAATCCATGTTTCATTCTTAGTACCAGATTGCTTATGCTTCTAGTGTATAAAAGGTATTTTTTGTTTAATTTAAAAGAAAACGTTTCCGCTCATGTAACATCTTGTTTAAAACTATGTTTGTTAAAGAGTTTTTCAAATTATTTCTACATTACCAGTTCTTAATGCAAAGATAATTATTTATGCATTTCAGTGAAGAACATAAATATTTATTAGTTAGATGTTGCATTAAAGGTTTTTGTTTTCTTTTCCAAAGCATACAGCACAGAATAAAAACCAATAATGAAAATTCCAAGAACCTTAGAGTCATTTGCCACATCTGTTTTAAAAATAATCAACAACCGTTACTTCATTCGAACGTATAAATTATAAACTTTTCAACCAGTGATGCTATTTGGTGGTTAATTGATATTTTCACACTATATATTGCCTTAAGATAAATAGTTTTACACAATTTTTATAGATATAACTAAGTTCTAATTATAAGACTTCATGCCGAAATTAAATCGTTTACAATATTTTAATATAAGGCGCCAAAATTAGATAGCTTAACAGAATTGTTCAAACGATTATAAAAAAAACAGATATATATTAACGCTTTCTAGACTCAATCATTTTTAAATTTCTAAAGGATCAGATGAGGTTAGGCCATATATTCTTATCGTTTGGCGTATAAATTGTCCAAACACAAACTTAAACAACCAACTAAAGTTAGATACAAGCACGTTATTCGAAGTTCGTTTTTCTAATGGCAAAAATAAAACACGAAGTGGTTTTGTTTTTAAATTTTCAGCTTTTGAATAAAAGAATATGAATTACAAACCAGTTTGTTTTTCGTTTTTGTTTTTTAATAACTATACACGAACTGGTTCTCTTTTCGTTTTTCAGTTTTTAAATATGAGAACATAAAAATCGAACAAATTTTTGTTTCGTCTGCCATTTCTTTGTAGCTTGAGACTACTGTGATCTGAAGCTGAATCCACTTATACGCAAACGATTTTTGTGGTTAAATACGTTGAAATATGGTACGTCGTAATTTTATTTCTTTTCAAAAATATAGCCAATGATTAATGTTCGCCTACTAGATAGCTGTTAAAAACATTTAAGATTAATGTTATAAAATCCATTTTGGATTATATTTATAAAGACAAGTAAAATTCTGCTAATGTTGGTAGCCTACTTTACCGGAATCGTGTTTCTTTAACTGCTTATGATACTTTAAAATATGGTTGTGTTTGCTTTACGCCGGCAATAGAATAGGACTCTTTTAGAACAAGAAAGAAATTGGTCCATCTTTGTTTTGTTGGTTTCTCAACTTTATTTTATCATTCGGTTGATCTTAATATTTCATCCCATCCAGCTGCTGCACAACCATTTTCAAATATCCGATCAGTCTGCATGGATGCCAATGCATTAAAAATTGCCAGAAAATACACCTACTAATTTTGGAATAGAAGAAGAACAGAATGGAAAGGCAGGTATATTCATCGGAAACAATGGTGCAGATAACGTTTGAATAGTGAAGATGTTGAAACTGGTAATGTACCATCTACTTATTGATTTCAGAGAAATAAAGCAGAAATTCTCATTCAAAATTCCTTTTGAGGAGTGGAATATTTGGATAGTAAAAGTAAATACAGAAGAGGCAGAAGGTTAGCAGGTAGTTGGACTAAACTCTTTGTGCATACAATTGCTACAGATAATCCAGTGTGCTCTTTACCCTTTAAGAAAAGTTATACGGAAAAACAATTACTCTTTCTTTACTGGAAGAGCAGTTTTCATGTTTCCATGATATGTACAATGTGTTTTGAAAATAAAGAGT